CGTGCTCTCTGCCAAACTCTTGTCTCACCAAACATGTGCTGTGAAGTGCTAGGAAGCATGAAGGGTTTCATTCCAACCAAAACTACAGCGGGCCATCTCACTGACTGGCACAGCTGCAGCTAGAGAGGAGAAACTAATGAGCAAAATCACCTTGGTGTGGCTCAATGGCACCAACATATAGCAGAATGAAACTGAAACACTGGTGCACAAGTCCTGTTGCGAAGCAGTTGCAAATTGTCAGAGAAAGCCAAAAGCAGTGGTTCAACAATATGTGGCTGTTTAATAGTGGCTTTTTGCAACACTATAAAGGGGCTTTGCTGAATGTCAATTTGTTATGATTTTATAGCTCTTTTAGAGGTTTTTAAAAAAGACTTTGAATGTTTTTCATCATATTTTATATTTCCTAACCCAAAAAATGTATCCTTGAACTAAATCCTTAATTTCAAAAGTGATCCATCAAATAAAAAAGATTAGATTTGGGAAATGACAATCCCTCTCTGTTTTCAATAGACGTTGACTTTTGGACGTTACAATGCTCTGGAGTTTTTGGAAACAATTCTACCACTGGAATCTAATTTTTCAAACAGGATAACATCAATCATTTAAGCATTTGCCAAATATGTTTATGAAATCCCAATTTTATACAGAACGAAAAGACACAGATTTTTTTTTTCCAGCATTCCAATATACAATTTTAGAATTTGATTTCAACATTATTATTTTATGTTAATTTATAATCTCATTAGAGCTGTGTGTCATCACGGTCGTCACGCAGCTATTATATCCTTGCTGTTGGTCTAATGCACTGTTAAATGTTATGTCATTATTAGTTGTGTTGATCTGTATTCTCACAATAAAGTCAGGGTGAATTACAGATTTGATGCTGTAGAAAATGGCCATCTGAATAAGTGAAAAAGAACGAAACAGTGTGTGTTTAAGGCTCTTAAAGAGAAGACAAACACCATTCTCTCCGGAGTTTAAAACTAATTAATTCAGTGAAGGCAAAGTGTTCAGTCTTATCTTTATTGATAAGGAATCCTGCACCTCAAAGCCGTCAGTTCCATGAGGGGGTTGCAGGAATATATCGAAGAATAAGGCACCAAAACAGATGCAATATAACGAGGGGCTTTCTAGTGTTGGTCACTAATGGGCTGAGAGATAAAGATCAAAAGGTTAAAGCCAGTAAGAACTATAAGACACTGTTATCACTCGTATAACTAAACTAATTGGCAGTGCTTGCTATCTCTCACAAAGTGCCAATCGAGTGCTTCACACTTTCATAGTTAATATTACACTTAAAAAATGCTATGTTTTTATAAGTGATATTTGAATTCCAGGCTATTAAAACTCCTTCAAAGGGCCTCAGGTTAAGGTTTGCACACCCATAAAGACACCACAAATTCATACCTTTTTATAAGAAGTTGATAAGCTTTGAAGTGCTGGTATTTCCCAAAATATAAAGATGTTTAATTCTTCCCCTCCCACAAATCCATGGCAGCCCCGCAACTCGGCTTCATCTTCCTGTTGTTAGCGTATTTCACCACTTGGTGGGGCCATATGACCACACCATCAACATTATCAACAGATTTTGTATAGTTAATAATTTGTTTCAATGCCTGAGCTGTTTGTGTTTTGATATGATATTATAATTATTTTCACTTCTGCTTTCAGCCGTATTATGGACAGGCGAGGTCTGGGATTTCCTGAGTTTTACTGAACGCCACCCGAGCATCATCTACAACATTATACTGTTTGGACTGACCAGTGCTTTAGGCCAGGTGCGTGGATGGAGATTTGAAGAAATCCTTTACTTTGAGATACATTTTTGCCCATTTGCCCTCACCATCGTTACCTTATCAGCAATGGATAGTGACTTTAACTTGAAATCCTCAAGGTTATAACTTTAATGTCTGTTTTTTAAACTCCTCGATCAGACCTTCATCTTCATGACGGTGGTCTACTTTGGGCCTCTGACCTGCTCCATCGTCACCACCACGAGAAAGTTCTTCACCATCCTCGGCTCCGTTCTTCTGTTCGGCAACATCATGACTGGGATGGAGTGGTTTGGCACCATCCTGGTTTTCCTTGGTGAGAGTTAACACTTTGTTGCCTTCTCTAGATGACAGTATATTGTAATGTATCACTGTAAAATTGATGATGGACTTTTATGAATTTATTTTAAAACCGAACTTAGCAGGTAGAGCTTCACTGTAATAAGATACTCCTGTGTGATCACTCAGTACCAAATCCTAATTTAAACATCTTGTATGCTTCACTACAATCACGATTTGTGCACCTTTCAGCTTGTTTGAGATAAAAGCCGTCTAATAGCAGGAACTTTGTGTTAATGGCTGAGCTCTTCTTGCAAAACGCTGTTTAAAACGTTTAACTGTACCCTGAGACAGTTACTCCGTGTGTAATAACAAACACTGCGCCAATTGGGGGATACTTGGGCTTCCCACGCAAAGATTTGGTTGAGTGGTAAATTATGCAATGAGAATTTAGCTAAAGGGGGGTCAGTAAATATAAGGCTGTCAAATATTTAATGTTTTTACTGGTTAAATTGGTCACTTTATTGGTTAAATACAGGGTGTTAAACCTTATTTTCATTTGCTCTTTAATCACATCTTTGGGTTTCTCTCTTTAGGTCTCGGATTCGATGCTAAATTCGGCAAAACCCCCAAGAAGACGACGCACTAAAACGTCAGGAGCACGAGACCGAAAGATTGCAAATTGAAACATTCTAAAGCCAGTATCATATTTTCATAAAGCGTTCTGTAGAGGCACACTGTATGTGCCTATCATATGTTTAAGTATGGTCGGATGTTTCACTTAACTGTATTTAAAAAGAGAGTCTAGCTTCTTTTGTTTACTTAGGATACAGCAAAGAGACACATTTTACTTGGGATCGAGTCCTGAATGAACTGTGACAAGCCATTTCTTTTCTTTTTTTCACAAAATACCTACCTTTTGTAGAGGAATTTGGACTGACTGAAAGAGACTGATGGAAAGTACTGTATCAGAAAAATCTTTAAGTTTCTGAAACCAGCTAACCTCCCTTGAATGGATATTGAAACCAAACAAGGCCTAACTCATGAACTTCCACAAAATAAGGCTTGGTTGGCAAAGTCATGCTTGAATATGTGTAATTATCACATAAAGGCGAATGATTAGCAAACAATCAGCCAAGTATCATGTCATTTAAAAAATATAAACGGTTGTATGTATCGCATTGTTGTATGTCCAATCATATCATTGAACTGTTTTTACTTTTATTTTCTACAAGTTGAAAATAATTGACCATAAAAAGGGGAATTGTGATAATTGATGGTGATTTTCTTTTTGTTACACAGACTTACTTTACTTGAATGGTTCAATCATTCAGTTGAGATACTCATCTTTGAAAAATAGCTATAAAATAATACTTATGATACAAGGAAAATCCTAAACGCTTTTAATATAACAGTTTTCTTGTATTTTGATAAGTGCTTTACAAATTAAATGTACTATTATTATTAGTATAAATTGCTTACACACTAAATGTTAGGTAAAGTACAACAATTGAAACTTAACTTCACCTCAAGTCATAACTAAACACATTTCAAGCTTTGCACCCAATCTGAATTGAACATGTTACACACTGCACAAGTTTCGCTACATATAAGACGGCAATCTAAATTTGCCATCTTGCCAAACACCTCATTTCTGGATTGTCGTCTCAAATCATATGTCAGGAAACTCTTTTGATCAACCATGGAGGAGGCCTTCGACCAAATTGATGCAGTGTCTGTGCAAGGATGAATTTCCCATTCAAGAAGATTGTTCCCTTGCCATTTCCCCGAGAGTACGCAGCCTGTGAATTGGACAAAGTGTTAGGACCAGATCTGGTAAAGAAATGTTGGGACAAGTTTTTGTTTGTAATTCAGGCCTTGTCTTTTGTTCTTCTTACTATATTTAGAATGTGTTCTTTTCTGATTTCCAGTGCAAAATACAACCGTTGGAGATGCACAGAGCAGAGGTATTGATTTGTTTTGCTATGGTGAAAACACAAGTGTGCTTATTACCCTAAATAGCACATTGGAATAGCACAAGAGAGCCTAACATAAGACCCTAATATAATAGCACCTTTTGAAAATTAGGCAATTTGCACAAAAGTGCATTACGAAATTAAAAACATTTAGAGCATTGGGGTATAGTGCAATGTTTTCAGGTAAGCTATACATCTTTTATCTTTTATTATTCTAACACAGGTGGAACATGTTTGTAATTTAAGGGACACCTGCTTAAACATAGGAAACAATGTTGATAGGCTATTTCAATTATCTCAAGAGTGTTAAACGAATGCATAAGGCTTAGTTGGAACCACAACTTAATTAAAACAATTATCAGATGGAAGAGCAACATTATGTGAAACGGGGGTGTTTTAAATTAAATATAAACTGTACATTATAATATAATGTACAGTTTAACACTTTTACAGTTATAAGCTGTAGCCTACCTTCAGCTTCACTGTAAGAACACTACCAGTTAAAATACGTGCATATGGATTTTTTTTTTTAATTTAATTTTAAAGAGACACTTAAAAACTATAAATTCATTAATTCCTTGCTCCGTATGTATAACAAAGTTGTGTTATTATCTTAATAGTATCCTTGTAGTATTCTCCAAGTCTATTTTTATTTGAACCTTTTCTTTCCAAAGATTTCATTTCGTTCATTTTTATCGGACTCTGTTTTAATTCTTGCTGCTGTGAAGGGCTTTGTGAGTATGTTTTGAAATCTTTCATGCAACAACAAAAAATTCGCTTTGGCATTGCCCGAATAAAATGCTGTTTGGAAATACAAATTAAAGCCATACAGTTATATATTGACAAAATGGTACAAAATTACTTTGTATATACAGCTGTAGTGTGCCATTAAAGCTCTACAAGGTACTGATAATAATTACTAAAAATGTGATTTTGCCACGGTCCATCAGGCGGTATTTCTAGCACCCTCTCGGAGTTACCACAGGCCTTTCTTCCGCCCGAACTCGCAGATTTAAGTGTCCACCGTTTTGGCAAGACTGGTTGTAATCCGTTTATTACTGTACAAACTCAGCCAACACAACATCAAAATGCTCGGCATGCTGCGCAAACAGCTTAAGGGCCACCCAGCTGTAAGTATATGTTGGTGTTATATCAGAAAAAGAATGATATTAGACGATTTTGTTTTAAACGTCATCATCCGTGAATGTGTGTTGCTAACTTAGTTTAGCTAACCAGTTACCAAGCAAGCTAGCATCCTACCTTTGACCGCACTGACTTTGAGAAATTCTGTTAAACATTTAAAGATGCTTTACTGTTAATTGTATTTGTTTAACTAGTATACTGCAGTACACGGTTTTCTCATGCAGGGTTTGCCAACACTATGTTGATGCTTTGGTGTCAAATAAGGTCTCGGCTTCATCTACAAGACGATAGCAACGATTATTAGCAAGAGTGTTTGCTGTGCTGAAAATAGCATCACATGCTACTAGTTGGCGTGTTAGCTCGCTAAGTAGCGTTAGCAAGTTTGTTTTCTAGGTGTTAACTCTCCCTAGAACTTAACATTTTGAACATATCTGTGAACAACTGTAATTTGACTTGTGTAAATTACCTCACAGTGACTGCTTCTTTGTAATTAACCATATGATAATGAAGAACAAAGGTGTCAACACAATGTAGGTATAGTTTGCAAGGGCAAATGATTTCAGGTAGGCCTACAGTGAGTATATACGTCAAATTGTATAGGCAACTGCATTTTAAAGATATTTTGTCTTGTCTAGTTGTGCCAGGCAGTGTTAATTGAAATGCTTCCTTGAGCTGTGACAGTTCGCCTTTATGTTATTGAAGGTTACATATCCTCCTGTCTGTCACCTACAGCTGATCCCACTGTTATTCTTTATCGGTGGGGGGGCAGCCATGTCCATGGGGTACCTTGCTCGTCTGGCCTTGAGAAACCCTGATGTCTGGTAAGGACTCTAATCATTAAACAGGAAACGTTATTTTAATATTACATCCGTTTTTATTTTTTCCCTTTTCTAAAATGGCAAGTGGCTGGTAGGTGTTGCATGTTATCTGCTGTTACTGAGATCTGCAGATTAGAAAAAAAGGAAAAGATGCAGACTGTTATTGCAAATAATTATTTTACTACTCGTTGATGAATGTCAAGTTAAAGTCTCTGTTGTTGAATCTTTCATAACTCTAATTCTCCTGTACAGCTGGGACAAGACGAACAACCCAGAGCCCTGGAACAAGATGGACCCAACACATCAGTACAAGGTGAGACTTTGACACCGCATTCTTTTAAATCGTACTTTTGTTACAGTTTTGATTGTATGTACTGAAGACTGTTGTTTGCATTGTATGGATCTTTGACTTGTTGCTGAGCCATGAATAATTCCTTCAATTATATTAATCCAATCACATAATCTGGTTAACCCTTACCTCTAGTAAGACATCTGATGAAGTCATTAACTTCTCACACTTGAATACAAGTTAAAAGGGCAAGTGCAAGATTATGCTCTGCCAAATACCCTAAAACCTAAACTTGTAGTTATCCGAACTCACTTTCGGCTTTCAATGCATTTTTTTCTGAAATTTCCACTGTTGAGCTGAGATTTGTTTTTGTATTCTCAGTTTTACGCAATTAACATGGACTACAGCAAGCTGAAGAAGCAAGGCCCTGATTTCTAAAGATCAAATCTGCTGGACCAAATGCATTAAGATGAGCTGATCCGCACAGAACCATTTTAAACTTCAGAAGAAGAACATGAGGGATGCAGAGGCTACAACCGCACAATGATTAATATTTAAGTTTTCTCATTGCATCCTATTTGGAAACCATGTCTCTTAATTCTTATTTTCAATTGTTGTTCAATAAAGTGAATGAGTCTTTTCTCCATACAGAGAAAAGGAGTCGTTTCATTTATTTATGGGCATGTTTCTTTCCATGTCCTTGATCATGTGTCATTTTGTATTGTCACTCTTAAGTCATACAAATAGATGTTTGCATTAACAGCCTCCACCCTCTGTTTACAGTTATGTCATGCTTCTCAGTTACTACATGAGCTGTGCGCTAACCTCATTTTACTTCTGTCCTACAATAACCCAGCTGCTGGTAAGATATGTGCCACACTGCTTGGCTGTAATCCCGAGCCTTATCAGTATGGCACGGGCAGACTTTAACCTGTCACATTAGAGCAGTGGGCTCCCTCTGGTGGCAGTATTTACTGCAGTTTATGAGGCCTGCCAGTTGCAGGGCTTCTGCTACATATGTTTTTTTTAGCTTTCAGGCGATGCTGTTTAAAGGGAAGATTGAGACACCATGTCTCTCTCTGCAAAGGTTGACTCTGTTTGTTTAAAGCAATAACATGTTCTAGTGTAACACTGGGCAGTAGAAACAGTACGGGAACATGTTGAGGTGTTTCTCTTTATAGAATGCCATCGCTCTCAGCCAGATTAGTTTGTAAATGTCAACAGGTCGTGCCGTCCCATATGCAGCTCAGGGAAAATGTGACAAGGATGAGCAGCCAACGCATTGCAGAAAATGTCAAGGAGACATTCATATTTGAATAGAAGCCCACATCTAAATCTTCACCCGCCCTCTCCACGGCTGGAGCAATCATGTATCTCATTCTTCACCTCAGGAAAAATTAAGTTCTGGTACATCATGTTATAGAGTGCCTCATTTTGGAACAACATTTGAAATGATTCAGCATGTTCACACCAACTTTTAAGAACCCCTCGTACACACAAAATAACTTTATTTATCCTGAGCTCCTTTATTTGTTGATGTAACCTGTGGTTTTCATCTTCATTGAGGCAAAATGAAAGCAAGTGACGTGCTGTGGCTGAAGCTTTTGAAGGGGGAAAATCAACACTAAATGACTCATTCTCAGGTAAAGGAAAAAACATGTCTGCCTTATTTATGCTGCAGGGTTGAGAGTTATTTGCCTTTTATTTAATTAGGAGTGAAATATTTCCATCAACCATGATAACTTTGATAAATTGCTTACATGATATAAACAATGTAATAGCAGAGAGAAACATCTAATTTGGAAGTTAATATAACCCATAGTTTCCCACTCAGGGTCTGTACGGTCCAGAATATTTTGGCGGTGAAAATCCTTCTGCAAATCAGGGCTTTGGTATACTTTCTTAACCTTACTGAATGTAAAAAATGTTTTGTATCTGAGTTTACTGTTACAATACTGCTACAAATCAATAATAAAAGGTCCTGAAAATAAGACTTTTTGTTGTCATGTGTGTAATTTTTAATATCTAATATGGAAATCTTGTGTACAGCCTTGCTAGTGTTTCTGTCTGTAAGGCAGGTATCATTAACTATGTTCACTCTGTGTAGGATGTTATTAACATGCTATCATTTGCTAATTTGCATGAAGCACAACATACAACTGATCTTGATGGGAATGTCTTAAGTTTGTCAATTTTTAAAGGCTTAACCACATTTATTTTATCCTGATGGCACATAATTAAACACGAAGGTATCACCATGCGGGTAGCATAATGTCTGTACCAAATATTATGGAAACCTAATCAGTAGTTGCCAGACAGTTTCTCAAAACCACAAATCTAAATTGTGATGGTTTGAGAGGCAAAGTATCACTAGTAGGAAGCATTCTTTAGAGATCATACATGTATGCAGAAATGCTGTCAATGTATATGATTATCCTTGCTCACCTTCAATGTTTTATTGAGCGACTTTAAAGCTCTGATGCCATTTTCTGGGCCATTTGTGCTTGCTGAGTAGTTTTCTATTTATGCATCCAATAGATACAGAGAAATATTATCAGGTATTTGGAGTCATGTTCTGGCCATCTGGTGAATGTATGTCCAATATTAACTTTTTTGCAGCTCTGTTCTGCAACTCACGAGGGTATTATCTGGCTTTTTAGCTGCCAAATACTCCACGTTCACTTGCTATTAATTACGTCTGCCTTCTGTTTAACGCTGGGTATATTTTACATCGGGTTTATCAAAAAGAGTTATGCTGAAAAACTCTGTTAAAGCTCACCTATTATGCTATATTTGAATGATATATTATAGGGCCATATCTACACAAAACGTGTCTGAAGTGTTTTCCTCAAAATACCAAACAGATCACCCATAATAGCCATGCCTCATATCTCTCTATTTCAGCCCTGTTACAAAAGTGCTGATTCTGTGACTGTTGCTTTAAATGTTTCCGAGCTGCTGCTGGCCACGCCCCCTTTGGAGCGCAGGCAAGCAGTGAGCTCTCCTCTGTGAAGAGAGAGGTTATATCTCACACAGGCTCCGCCCTCTACTGGACTCTATGGGTACTACCTCTCAACCATACTATGCGAGCATTCATCAACTGAAATATCTATAACCGTAGCCGCCCCCCTGGGACGGGCCTACCTGAATACGCGCGCAAGACCACCGTATATAAGGCTGCCTCGCCTCCTGGCTGTCATCCTTTTCTCTTCAGCGAGCAAGGAAACAACTGAACTAAGACGAGAAAAGACAGAAAGTTTGAAAAGAAAAGTCATGGACTCACCACTAATAATAATAATAATAATGCATTTTATTTATATAGCGCTTTTCACAACTCAAAGACGCTTGAATGAGCTAATGGAGCAACGAACATGCCCTTCGTGCCCAGGCTTAATTGCAGGTGCCGATCTCCACCGGAGGATGTTGGGGTGCCCTTCGTGTTCTTCATGCCAGCGGGCCGGGCGGCTCCGTTCGTCGAGGAGGAAGACGACGACGACACCTCGTTGTCTGATGCTTCCGGGCCCGGCCTCCAGGAAGGTCCACAGCACATTGCACGCAGAACATTCCATATGTTAACTGTAAAACAGTTGCTGGGACCAGTGGCGGCGCCAGAGATTTTCTCTAGGGGGTGCTGTGGGGTAGCTTGACGTTTCATAGAGGGTGCTCAAACTTTAATAAAGTTTGAGCACCCTCTATGAAACGTCAAGCTACCCCACAGCACCCCCTAGAGAAAATCTCTGGCGCCGCCACTGGTCCCAGCAACTGTTTTACAGTNTGACCCCAGGAGGAAACCGGGAGAGGGCAATGAAATCGGGAGTCTCCCGCGAAAATCGGGAGGGCTAACAAGTATGAGTTGCAGTAGAAAATTCAACTGTAGCGCTGGTGCATTAATGGGAAACCCTTAAAGTTTGAGCACCCTCTATGAAACGTCAAGCTACCCCACAGCACCCCCTAGAGAAAATCTATGGCGCCGCCACTGCTCATATATATCATATTTTATTTTTTATTAATTATATGGATTAAACAAATATGTGTTCCTTGTAAAAAAACAAAGAAATAAAAATAGTTCTTGCTTATGTTCAAATGT